TTTGCAATGGGTATACACAACTGTAGTTGGGTTGCCTAGGTATTTTCAGGCAGCCTAGCAGGAGCAATGATTCGATCCAGTTTCTCTGTTGCTTTTGTATTGGGTTGCACACGTTTTTTTTTTGTTTTTTTTGATTTTTTTTTTTTGCAATGAGGCTGGCATAATCCAGTCAGGTAGGAAAGAGGCAGAGATTGTGTTCCCAGGTACTTTGTTGTTCTAGAGGCTGTTCTCTAAAGTTCAGCCAAAAAAACTGGCACTGTGCAGAATGAACATGAAAATGTGCCTTCAGCAGCCAACTGTATGCCAATTTCCATACTTCATCAAAGTTCAGACAGATAAATTTGGAAGAAAGCTATGTTATAGGCTTTCCACCTTACTTCTACGGAGAAATTTACATTTGTCATAAATTACAGGTTCAGCTGATGAGCTTTGTATAGAGGCAATGAAGCTCCAGATTCCTACAGTTTGAGGTTGAATGTGTGGAAGAATTCATCTTTTTAAGTTAAGTGGTCAATCAAAACAGTGGTTGCAGCCAAGGAATAAAACATTGAATCATGCTAGGTCACACAACAATGGTGAGTAAGAATCAAATATGCAAAAGTAAGAATGTCAGCTTGACAACCAAGTGCAAGTTAGTTCATGGCATTGTGTTCTCCATAACTACATATGGCTGTGAAAGGTGGACGATAAAGAAGATGGACAGAAGAAAAATTGATTCTTTTGAGCTATGGTGTCAGAGGAGGCTCTTGCACGTCCCATGGAATGCAAAAATAACAAAGAAGTGCTGAAGTGCATAAAACGGGACGTGTCACCGGAAGGCAAAATAACAAAACTTAGATTTTGCTGTTTTGGCCATGTCATGCAATCAACATCATTGGAGAAAGATCTTACACTCGGAGTGGTCAGTGGTAAAAGACAACGACACCAAAGAACGTGTTGGTTGGATGTAATCAAAGCAAATACTGCCCAAAATTTAACGAACAATGTGTTAAAGCTAAGCTTTGCATTTCAAATCTAAGCTGTTGTTCAGAGAAATCTCAGTCAGCTTGTTTATGCTGAAATGTATGAATACTCTCATCTGGGGAGTTAAATAAATATTGAATACTTTATACTGGTGCGCTAAGTAGAACATGGTTGAAGAAAGTTTGATGTAAGCTTTATTATTTTCCAATACTTAAAAGGCCATCATTCAGAGGAGGGTCAGGATCTGTTCTCGATCATCCCAGAGTGCAGGACACAGAGCAATAGGTTCAAGTTACAGGAAGCCAGATATTGTTTGAATATCAGAAAAAACTTCCTAATTGTTAGAGCTGTATGGCAAAGGAAACGATTACCTTGAGAGGTGGTGAGTGCTCCAACGTTGAAGACATGCAAGAGAAATTTAGATAAACACCTGGCAGATATCCTTTGATTTGTATTCCTGCATTGATCAGGAGGAGGTTGGACTCTATGACTTCATAGGCTCCTTCCAACTTCATAATTCTATTATTCTACTATTAGATGGCATAAATGCAGAGACTTCTACAGATTTAAACTTCTCAAAATAGACTGAATTGTGTTATGAACTAATTTCTACATCAGTTTTACCATGAGAGCCACCTGATGTCAGCACACAGTAACTTCATCCATATACAGTTTGTGATATTATCTTACTTGCAAATCCTCTTTCTAATTATGTACCAACCAGCATTTGTTTGCCATCAGTCTCTCTAATAATTCTAACCTGTATGACACAGTTTATACTGACACTCACTTGAATATTCGAACAAGCCTTTAACATAAGGGTCACCATCCTGGGTTTCAGCAGGAAGAGGGGAAAGAGATTTTAGCAGTGGAGAAAAAAATTATTTGTTTATTTAGTAGATTTTTACCCCGCCCCTCTAGACAGCGTCTACTCGGCTTACAAATATTAAAAAATCATAAAATATAATAAAACATCATAATCATTAAAACAATTAAATCAATAATATGGTGTGTTCAAGATGGGAAATGATAAAACAAAGGGATAGAATTCAAGAATTGACAGACGGGTTGGCCTGCCTAAAGAGCCAAGTAATTAAATGGCTCTTAAATACTCCCAGCGAGCGTGCCAGGTGGATCTCTGTTGGAAGGCTATTCCATAGTTGAGGGGCCACTGCCAAGAAGGCCTGGTTTCTTGTTCTTTCTTTCTGGGCCTCTCTCGGCATTAGGCCCCTCAACTGTCCCTCCTGGCTATGCCGAGTAATTTGGGTAGGTCTAGCTGGGAGAAGGCGATCTGCCAAATCTGCCAAATGTGGCAAATGCTGGATAGCTCAGTGGTTTAGAGATCTGGCTGAGGAACCAGAGGTTGGGAGTTCAATTATCCACTGTGCTTTCTTGACAAGCACTTGAATCAGTCCAGCTCTGCAGTTCTAAGATGATGGTGGTGGTGGTGATCGAAGACCTACTCTTGGATACATTAGTTCTGGTTTCAAAACAACTACAAGAACAACTATAAGATGCCTGCTTAATGCATTTTTCCAGCTGCTTCTTTATTGATCATAACAACCATATTCCTATGAAATAATCAAATGGAAGGGAGAGACACACATGTGCATTACAGGATCAGCACTACCATTCAGCAGAGCACACTATGTTCTTGACAATGTCTTTCATATTTCAGTTTCAGAGCTGTGATTCTAGCAGACCTTTGCATCTGAGAAATTAGACTTATAAATGAAGCTTAAATTTGTGTTTAGAAATTCTTGACAGCACAGTTTGTGATGAAGTTTTCTGTGAGTTTTAGTCCAAGAACATCTCGGGACCCAAGGTTGGGAACCACTGGTGTAGAAGATCTGCCCTAAAGGACCTAAAGGTGATGTTGTAGATGTATGACAAGAACAGTGGGTTAGGACAGTGGTTCTTAACCTTTGTTACTCGGATGCTTTTGAACTGCAACTCCCAGAAACCCCAGTCAGCACAGCTTGTGGTGAAGGCTTCTGGGAGTTGCAATCCAAAACTCCTGAGTAACCCAAGGTTAAGAACCAGTGGGTTAGGAGACACAGAAAAGCTCAGTGCCCTGTGATTCCTGTCTCCTTATTTCATCACCAGGCCCCTCAGGATTAATTTTGTTCTCATCCAGATAGAGCATTGTGTTGTGCCAGATGGTGCCTCTTGGTGCCAATGATTGTACTGGGATTTCCATTTGTACTTACTCCAAAAACCCTTGTCTCTTTGCAAGAAATCAGCACCTTTTAAAGAAATGAGTAAAAAAATGTTTCAAAGAACTTAGAGAAAAGCTTTCAGAATTATCTCCTGTGCTAGATTTTTTTAAAAAGTTGATTTGCACTAATAGTGAATGTTTCTGACTGGTGCACCTTATGGCAGAGGTCCATAAAGAGCTAATAGTAATCCATTTTGCAAATCAGCTGACTTTCAAAAGAACGCTTTCAAAATGTTAAGGAAACCCTTTAAAACTGATCTTCTGGGCTAGATTTTTTAAAAATAGATTAGCACTAGAACTGAAATCTTATTTAAGCCCTTTACAGCAGTGACTCACTCCATTGCTAACCCATTTTAAAAATCAACTCCGCACAGGCCTTATATTCAACTTTGTACACTATTTCTGTTTTCGTGCTATACTTCTTTGAGGGTCATTCTTACCCTTTTATGATATTTGAAAAGATTTCCAAGGGTTAGAAGCTGCAGTTAGTCTGGCACAACAACAATAACAACAACAGCAACAACAAGTCCTCTGGCATCTAAAAGATTTATGTTTTATTTAGCATATGTCGTGGACTTCAGCCCACTTCATATGATGTAGTGGGCTGGAATCCATAAAATGTCTTAATCTTTCAAATATTACTAGATTCTATTTTTTCTCCATTAGCTTTGTTTTGAATGACACAGAAGTTCCTGAGGATTTGGAGCTGACATAGTTCATATGCAGTTTTACTTCCACAGATCTTAGTTCCTGCTGGGAGCTGGTATTTAAAAGGAAAGGTCCCAGCAATGATAAGCTGGAGAGGGGCTGATAAACAATGTAAAAAGGCAAAGCTTCTTTAAGACAGAACACAGTTTATTTGTGACCTACAGCAAGATTCAAAGTTGGCAGGCATCACTGAGGACACAAGCAACAGGAAACATTTTATACATTAAGAGTTTCAGTAATCTTAATATATTTATTTGTGCCTATTATATGTGCCTGTACTGTTCAAGAAGGCAGTAACTGTGAACAGACTGGGGGGCACTCAACTGGGGCATATTAAGTTGGCAGAAGAACCATTTAATTGAAATAAATGGAAATTGCTTTAAAGTCAATATTATGAAGGGGAACAAGCATGGTTTAAACCTTTTTTGAAAAAGAGATTTACAATATAATCCTGTGCCTTTCTATTTGGAGGTTGTGTATTGTGTACAGTACTGCCAAGTTAATTCCAACTTGTTTCCAAGGTATGTGAGATATTTAGGGAGTGGTTTTACCATTACCAACCCCAGTGAGTTTCCATCACTCAATGGGATTTTAACCCAGGTCTCCAGAGTACTAATCCAGCATGGTGTCCACTATACCACACAGGCTCACTTACCCAGAAATAAGAACCCTTAATTCAGAAAGCCTTAGGGTAAGCAAAGGATTGGAGCTGTGAAGCTCTAATCCCATGCTATATATAGTAGTAAGCCCCAACTGAACTCAACAGGATCTGTTCCCAGATATATTTGTACAAGATCACAGTCCTGCAAATCCTAGGCCTACTCTCACTGGGATAATTTTGGCCTACTCCCAGGGAAACCTGTATAGGAGCATAGTCTTAAATACAGTCTATGACTATTCCAGCTGTGTCTCTGAAAGCCGGCTTGAATTTTAAGTGTTATAGATAGTCAACTGCCCTATGATAAGCACGAGTAGGGAACACGTGGCCTTCAGATTTTGTTGAACTACAATTCCCATTACATTTAAGCTAGGGCTGCTGGAAGTTGTAGTCTAACTTTGATGGTGTGGGTGTGTGCATGGGTGTATTAGGACAATGTAGCTGGACTAGCCTCTAAGACCCATAACAGAACGGGATAGTAGCTTGCTGCACATCATGCAGCCCATGGAACAAGTAGGAATGATAAGAAGGCAAGTCCTCTGAATACTGCCACCCTTGATTATTTCCAGCATATTGCTCAACATCTCCATCCTTTTCCAGGAAGCAGGCTGGAGAAAGCCTTTGCAGAACGCCAGCACCAAACTGATAAGTCAGCTTCCTCCGGATTTTAATGATTTCTCCTGTCCTTCCATAATTCCGTAGGGCTCTGGCCATTTTCTGGTAAGTCATGGTCTTCCGGTTTCCCTTGCATTCCCCCCACCGTTCTGCTAATTTCTCCTTATTTTTTGAAACAAACTGGAAGATGCCATTGGGCTTATCGATCCACTGGATGCAATTTGCCAGGTCTGGGTTGTGAAGAGATTCGTGGATATATTCAAACAGCCGTGGCTTTCTCTTGCCTATTCAGGGGTTAAATCAAAAGAAAAAGGGAACATAAATACAATCTGCTTATGATCTGTTTATGAAATACAATCTCTTCTAAAGTTTTAGAACTGAAGTGAAATTCTATGTGTTATTAAAGTTGGTTTTTTTAAAACAAAATTTACTTAGCAAAAAAAAAATAAAAATGAAACAATACATAACATGACTAAAATTGTATTTAATAATCATGATTAATTCAATATAATTAAAACATATAGCCCCCATTCAGTTTTCCATTTAATAAAAATTATCTCTTCCTTTCACAAAACTATGTAATGACTGATAAAATTTGTTAATTTTTTCAGTGCAATGACTATGGTTTCCATATTGCCTTTTATGGGGTTTTTTACTGTTTTAGATGGATTTTTTAAAAATGCAATAAAGAATAACACATAATAAGGCACTATAAAATATGGAATTTAAAAGGTAGTAATTTATGGGTTCTGTATGTTGCAATAAATTACGAGTTAATTTTTGAAAGTAAATTACATGAGTTACTTTTTGAAATGCATTTTTGTGCTTAGTTCACAACTTCATGTTAGGATGTTATGGTCTGTGTCCCCCCCCCCTTTGATTTCTCTTATTGGTGCTGTGGGGCCACTGCCAAAGTTCATAATAGCTGTTTCCTGCTTCTTTTTTTGTCATGGGCTGGAGGTGGGCAAATAATTCTGCCAGAAATTATTCTGGTGTCACTATGTAACCCCACCCACTATTCAAGTTGCAGACATTTGTGTATCCGCATTATGGGAATGTGTTTTTTCGTTGAGATCCAAGAACACAGAAATACTTACATTGTCAAAAATTGGATTGCTGTAGGATGGGTTGTGCCCTTATTTTAGACCAAACCAGGTCAGCGAGCCAGTGCAGACATCTATTATGTTCCAAACACAATCAAAACAATGTACATGTGTAAATAGTAGGATTTTCACAAACCTTTGCTGCCTTTTTGCTGCATGGTTACAGTACTCATCATTTGGCTTTCTGGAAGATTCTGCAGGGTACAGTAGACACCTCCATTTGGATAAAGGTCTTCTTCAGACTTCTTGTAAGAGAGGAAAACATAGGTTGAGTAACCACCAAATTAAGTGAAGTTATTGCCTCCTTGCATAGAATTAAAGTGAGCAAATAGAATTGAGCAGTACTGATTTTGTAACAATTATAATAGCATCAACAGTAAATTTTTCCTCATCATCATTAAGCAAAGCTAGGAGAAGAAGCCAGGATGAATTAAGGCACAACCAGAGAGGCAGTTATTAGTAAACAGTCAAAACTGATATCACACTAATGATTTCTCTATTTAGTGTTAAGAGTTCATCTTGAAACAGATGATAGGAGTGCAGTCCTCACAGGCTACAGAGGTTAGAGAGCAAAGAACTTGGGAATTAGATGTAGCATTGTTTTGTCTACTCTGGTTAATTGGAGCTCTCTAGAATCTCATTGTTGCACCTGATACTTAGAGGAGCTGTCTGCCATTTTGATTTGCTGTCCTCCATTTTGTACAGTTAAAGCTGCTCCACTGTTCCCACGATTCAGAGATGGACAAAGGCCCTGCAAATTGCATCATGTTTTGGGAACGCAAAGGGAGCCGGAAGCAGATGTTGCTTATCATATGCCACTAACATGGTTATTTACTTCCACTGTGCATACCTGAGCATATCGTGGTAGGATACTGGTACAAGAGTAGTTCACATACCAGTATCACTATTCAAAGTATAATATAGTAATAATGCATTACCCAGCTGCAACCTATTAGTATAAACAGCCAAAAGTGTATAAAGATTGTTTGCTTTACTCAATGACTGCTTGTACTTCTTGTGCTGGCTTGTGAGCATTGCTGACATCTGTTCCAATCCATTGGGTACACCTGTGTGTTGTAAACTATCCAACTAACCTGTCTCCTTTTAAGTAAGCCTGGTTGTCTGTCTTTTTCTGAAGATCATCTCAAATCCTGCTCCCCTGGCTGAAGAATGTTACACTCGTATACAGATTTTTTCCCCATCACCAGCTCACTTGACTGTTTAACTGCAGGTGCTAGAGATTGAATCTACTATATTAATTTTATTTTTTAGTTTAGGTGAGCATTAGATTATGATTCAGGCCTGTCTTCCTCATTTTAGTCTGTTTGTGCATGCATGACAAAAGGGTTGGGGAAACAGAGTGTAAAATCTTTGGGCACCTTTAACATTAAAATGTCTGAAAAGGTGAATTGTACTTCATAAAGGTTCAGAGTAAAATAAAAGTGCCACCTTGTTTTTTAAATTGCTAATACAAACTAGCATGGCCCTGGAAACTGATACATACGGCATGAAATATTCTTGCAAACGTAACTTCCAGTTAGTTAGAGAGATTCTGTTACAGCAACATAATGGATTACTGAAAATATTTGTCCAGTTTAATACTGCATTTCACTTACTATTCTATTTTTCCAACTATATATTGGTTTCTCTGTGGGAGATTCTGCCGAGGAACTTGGGTTTTCTTGTAGAGAATAGTGGTGGTACATCAAACAGCTTTTATAGTCTTCTTTAAAAAGAAACACAAAATGTGTGAGCAGTAGGTAGGTGGACACAGAAGATAAAATGCTTGAGGATACGCCCCTAAAAATCATGGATAGAGAACCCATACCTTGGAAAGGAAATTGGACAGAAAACTGAACTGCAGTAGCCTCTCGCCATATGTCCTGGCCAATACATTTTTCTTCCTTATTCCAGTTACATACTAACAGGGTAGGTGAATGCATGCAAGGGGCATAAATAAGGCACAGCTTAGTCCCTTCTCATTTTGGCTCCTTGCCAGGTGTCACTTGCACTCCCTTTAATGAATACAGAAGTTTCCACACAATCAGGAACTCTGCTTCATCAGGGCTCCCAGTCATGTGAAGTAGTCTACTTGGGTTGAAGCAAACATGCATAGAAGCAGAAACAGTGGGAAAAGACTAAGACATGGCGAATCCCACAGCCAGCATGGCCAAAGGCTAAGTAAAAAATTCTCCTTCCCACCCCAAAGACAAAGGCTGATGCAGGGAAATGGGGAGCAAGACCAATAGACACAGTGGCTGAAATCCTGTTGCCCAGTCTAGGTAGTTGAACTAGAGTAGGCCCATTGAATTAGTGGGGATTTAGTGAGTCAACTCTTCCATAAATTCCATTGATTCTGCTGTAGTCATCACTTACTTTAGCAACTAGAGAAGACCCATTTAAATCAACTGAATTTTGAGAGAGGTTTTCCATCATACCCCCACTGATTCAATGGCCCTACTCTAGTACAAATTACTACACTAAGTACAGGATTTCAGCCAGGGTTAGCTTACACTATACATGGCTAGAGCCAAATGGCTAAAGAGAACATTTAGGTTTTTATTCCTATGCCCATTTCTGCCAACTGTACCATGTTGCATCTAGAATTAAGGTAATCTGTACGGCTACGTTGCAGAAAATGCGTAGATCAGTGTTCTTGTTCATAGTTCACCAATACATGTTTAAATGCCTGGAACCGTTTTGAGAATGTGGGTGTGCAAGAACTGCAGAGATGGAAAATGCTGCTTTTCCATAGTTAATTAGAGTGGACACATAATATTTAAACAAGTTGATGGGGCAGTGGCAGCCAAGCCTGTTTGTTATTTTTTCCACATATTTGCCCAGTTCACTTATAAATTAGAAGGCGTGCAATCTCGAATTTTAACTTCGAAAAGAATGTGTGTACAAGTCTTTGCCACTTGGCTTCCTCATGTCTCTCCAGTCTGTGCAAACCTAGGTTGACAAACCAACATGAGTAAAGGTGAGGAATGGAGAAACACTCAGCTTTCGTTACCTGTCTGTCCCCTTTGATAGGAAAATTGCATTTGCTTCTGCTTTATACGAGAACAGGGCAGACGTGTGAACAAATAATCTTGGCTGTGGTTGACACATCTAGTGATTGTTCTGAACTTGCCAGCAAAACTATATATTAAACCATTCCATATAAACCATGTCTCTCAGAGACATTATTGTGTAACTCCAGGGCTGTTCAGTGTCGAACTTGCAATTTCACCTGAGGTCTTTGGAGGAAGGGCAGAATACAGACATAATGACCAGAATCCTATTAGCAATTGTAGAGCATAGATGCTCCTCCAGAGGCTAAAGAAGACCCTCTTAAAAATGATTGGGTTTATGTGTGCACAAGCTGTCAAGACAGCTCAGTGGGTTAGGTATCTGGCTGTGGCACCAGAGGTTGGGAGTTTGATTCCGCACTGTGCCTTCTCTGAGCAGAGCCAGTCTATGGGGTCTTGGGCAAACTGCACAGTATCTCTACCTGGAAACCCTGAAAGGAGTGGCCATGTCATAATTGACTTGGCACATCATGATGATGATGATGATGCATGCATGCATAAGGGACAGTTGGACTTTGGACAGTTTGCATAAAAAGACAACTCCACATACAATGAACACTCTGAAGAAGCAAGCGGGATTTTGGCTAAAACATAAAGCAAATGTTTTGAAACAAAAGCATCTATGAATCCCATAACAAGTGCTGGTCACTTGTTTGCACATTAAGGTCACGAACCAGGCATTTTCATAATGAATGTATCTAGTTTGGAAACAAAAACAAAATCAAAATGAGTGTACCACACTCATCTGTATGTGAGCAGAGCAAGTCTATGGGGTCTTGGGCAAACTGCACAGTATCTCTACCTGGAAACCCTGAAAGGAGTGGCCATGTCATAATTGACTTGGCACATAATGATGATGATGATGATGCATGCACAAGGGACAGTTGCACTTTGGACAGTTTGCATAAAAAGACAACTCCACATACAATGAACACTCTGAAGAAGCAAGCGGGATTTTGGCTAAAACATAAAGCAAATGTTTTGAAACAAAAGCATCTATGAATCCCATAACAAGTGCTGGTCACTTGTTTGCACATTAAGGTCACGAACCAGGCATTTTCATAATGAATGTATCTAGTTTGGAAACAAAAACAAAATCAAAATGATAACCAGGCATTTTCTGGTGTGTCAAGTTTGGAAACAAAAACAAAATCAAAATGAGTGTACCACACTCATCTGTATTCTGACATTTGGGAAATGACTGAAACCCATACACAACTAAAACCAGAATACTGTATAACTAGTTAACTACTGTTGTTCTTTTTACCTGGCACATAATCAAAATCACCATCAGAATGTTGCTGTATTATCTCCAAGGCATCTTCAAGAGCTTGTCCTAATAATTCTTGGTCTGAAAAACTCTTGAGACAATTTATTTTTATTTTGCAGTTAAAATAATTCAAGAGCCAGGCAAACCATGTCACTCAGATGAAATACTATATATGCCCTAATAGATGATGATGTATCAAATTCACTGCTGTATGTGTATTTCAAGCAAGCTATCCCTGGATGATTGTGCCTTGCTGCTTCGATTGAGTTTTTGGTGTTGCTTCTGTTTACTGTCTTTTAGTGTGGTATCTGTTTGAGCCTTTAAAAATATTTGTATACTTACTTTTGTAATGTTTAAATATTGTCTTTTAATTATGTAAGCCACCTTGGGTCCTTCTTAAAGAAAATCACCATCAGAATGTTGCTGTATTATCTCCAAGGCATCTTCAAGAGCTTGTCCTAATAATTCTTGGTCTGAAAAACTCTTGAGACAATTTATTTTTATTTTGCAGTTAAAATAATTCAAGAGCCAGGCAAACCATGTCACTCAGATGAAATACTGTACATGCTCTAATAGATGATGATGTATCAAATTCACTGCTGTATGTGTGTTTCAAGCAAGCTATCCCTGGATGACTGTGCCTTGCTGCTTCGATTGAGTTTTTGGTGGTGCTTCTGTTTACTGTTTTTTAATGTGGTATCTGTTTGACCCTTTAAAAACACTGTATGCCAGGCAAACCATGTCACTCAGATGAAATACTGTACATGCTCTAATAGATGATGATGTATCAAATTCACTGCTGTATGTGTGTTTCAAGCAAGCTATCCCTGGATGACTGTGCCTTGCTGCTTCGATTGAGTTTTTGGTGGTGCTTCTGTTTACTGTTTTTTAATGTGGTATCTGTTTGACCCTTTAAAAACACTGTATTTGTATACTTACTTTTGTAAGGTTTAAATATTGTCTTTTAATTATGTAAGCCACCTTGGGCCCTTCTTAAAGAAAAAGGCAGAGTAAAAATATTTTAAATAAATAAATATTCCTGAAATATCTTTCAAGCAACTCCGAAACCTATTTCAAAAAAGCCTTCTTGCCATATTTGCTTTCCTCTAGAAACAATGTAGAGTGAAACCAAAGAGTCAAGGGGCACTGAGGAACCACTTTCTCTGAGAAGTTTTTGCATTTGTGCTTCTGCACATTTACTTGTATATCATTAAAAAAAACTTTTCAAAATCTGCTGCTGGCATTTTCTGTATCTGTGTTGGCTGCAAAAACATAGGCCCTTACATTTGGAAAAAAGAAAAGCAATATCATGGAGTGAGTAGTGATGGCCCAGAAGATTTCGCTGCTGGAGGTGAAGGACAAGATAATTATCCTTCATTCTCCATGAAAGATAAAGCAGCTAAATGGGTATTAACATCTTATTTTAACTCTTGTTAGGGGATAACATCTTCTACGAAGGCAAAGGACAGCAAGAGAGCTGTGGGGGATTCGAAACAGGCTGTGTCACAGAGATAGGTCTGTTGCTCCAATTCAGTTACCATTGTTTTCTACAGCACCCCACCCAGCATCTGCCCTGCAAAGCACCCCTCTCACTCTGCTCAATGACAAAGCTGACCCTAGATGTGACCTTTAATTAATCCATTAATTCGTTTGATTTTTTTGCCACTCCATGAGCACAAGCACTATTCTGGGCAGTTTACAGGTTAAAACCTAAAACTCAACAAAATCCCACACAATAAAATACATTCACAAATATGGTGATTTACAAATATACAAGAAAAGGGGGTGAAAGTAAAATTAACACTAAATTAAGAGCATATCTCAGTCCTAGAAATCAGTCTGGCAACCATATTTTGGACCTGCTGAAGTTTCCATACTGTTTTCAAGAGCAGCCCTATGTAGAAAGTATTACAGGAGTCTATTTCTGAGATTACCAATGCATGAGCCACTGTCACTAGGCATTTCTTATCCAAGTAGGGGCTTTATTTTTTTAACTAAACACTTTAATAAGTACAACATAAATTGTACTACTATGTGACAAAAGGTAGTGGTTATTCTCAAGCGCAACTTAAATTTTACATTCTACCTGCACAAATTGCATATAAAAATAATAAGACAAAAACATAGTGATCCCTTCACCCTGGGGACCATTAAATCGTACATAAATGTTTAACCTCCCTATACCTGACCTACAGTCCCTCATTTAACTGTCCTCATATCCCTTCCAAAAATACATATAATCTTGGTTCCATTTTTTCCTTTCCTCCAGGAAGGGGCATTAATAAATTTTCAGTTTTATAAACTGCCACTGCCATGTCAGTACACCAAGTAAAATTGTTATCAAATCTTCATTGCTGTCTTGCCGTTATTTCTATAGAGGTTTGCTTTGCCGTTGCCATCCAGCAGTACTCAGATTGAAAAACAATTCCACTATTAATAGTGAAGACGCAACTGTCTACTGTGTGACAAAAGGTAGTGGTTATTCTCAAGCAGAGAAGGCATGGCTTACACACTTACCATTTCTAAAACCAACACCAGATCCTCAGGCCTGTAAGTAAAACCAAGATGACTTTATTTATTTAAAAAGTTTTAGCAAAAGTCCTGTAGCACTTAACCACCAACGGAATCATTTTCTTTGTCTGTTTTCATAATAGTAATAAAAGTTACTCTCAGTAATACTACCGTATTTTTAACTTGTTGGGCTAAATCCATTAATCTCAACTAGAGCACATACACTGAATGGATGGGTCTTGAAAATTAACACTAAGTCCCACTGACATAATGGGTCTACTTCGGGACATCTCAACTTGAGCACATACACTGAATGAATGGGTCTTGAAAATTAACACTAATCTAAGACCCACTGACATAATGGGTCTACTTCGGGACTAAACAGAGTTTAGAGCAATTGTTATATGCTACTTGTACATGCAACATGTACCAATACACATGCCACAGACTCGACAAGCGTTAGCCCCTCTATACATTTACATGCAAGAAAGTACTGCTGAGCACATACACTGAATGAATGGGTCTTGAAAATTAACACTAATCTAAGACCCACTGACATAATGGGTCTACTTCGGGACTAAACAGAGTTTAGAGCAATTGTTATATGCTACTTGTACATGCAACATGTACCAATACACATGCCACAGACTCGACAAGCGTTAGCCCCTCTATACATTTACATGCAAGAAAGTACTGCTGGAATCAATGTAACCTACTTCTGAGAAAACCTAAACAGACTGTACTGGTTGGACTGCCTTAGGAACCCAACTGAGGCTAGATGCCTAATTCATAAAAGAAGACCCTATTGCTCACAACTCAAGCAACTTTGGTGCCTGAGTTTGTAGCCCACCATCTTAGGCAAACACCTGAACAAGTTGTGTCCAGGGACTCATCTCTGCCTTTGTCTTGACTTCCCCAAAAGAAGACCCTATTGCTCACAATTCAAGCAACTTTGGTGCCTGTCATAGAGCTCATTTGTAGCCCACCATCTTAAGCAAACACCTGAACAAGTTGTGTCCAGAGACTCATCTCTGCCTTTGTCTTGACTTCCCTGAAGCAAGTCACTTTCTTCTGCAGGATGTCAGACAGGGCCCTAGACCAAATGCAAAGGAAGGCCAGGCTTCTCCATCTTTTACCATCTGCAGAGAGGGGACTAGAATTCATCAGGTACTCCAGGTCTTTCCTTTCTTGGCGACTTGCAGGCTAAAATTTCTTTTGCTATAGAACTGCTGCTGCAGCGAGCATACTCATTGACCAGAGAGGAAGAGGGGAAATAGTTCTAGAACATCCCTGTATGTTTTTACCTGCGAGCATGCAATGAGCAAATGCGACTTTCTACAGGACGCTGTCGACTAAAAGCACACTCTCCTACTAATGACTTTCAATCAAGCTGTTGATAAATATGTGTGTTATGTGCTGTCAAGTGAGAACTATTTTACAGCAACCCTAATAGGTTTTTCAAGATAAGTGAGGTATTTTAGGAGTGGCTTTATCAGTCTCATACCCACCCACCCAGTGAGTTTCCATGGCTGTGCAGGGATTCAAACCCAGGTCTTCTGTGTCCTAGCCCATCACCCTATCCACTATACCACAGTAGGTAAATCTACAACAGGGTTTACAAGGAGCCCTTTCCATCTTTGTATTCAGAGCAGTGTCAGGCAGTTGGATCTGATGATCGTTTTAATTTTCCACAATGTCTAACAGAGCATTATTCAAAGGAATGGTGGGAGATTTAAAAGATGGCTAGACCCAGCCACTGGCCACTGCTTAGGTCAACGTTGTGTCTAAGGAGGGTCTTTGTTTTAGCTCCCTCAAATCCAGAGCTGGTTCTGAACCAATGCTCTAGGAATATAACTTTGGACTACAACTGAAGAACCCCAGAGGCAGTATGGTCGTTGTCTGCCTGAGGGATTCTTGGAGTGGTTGTTGTGGGTTTTTCGGGCTTCTTGGCCGTGTTCTGAAAGTGGTTCTTCCTAACGTTTCACCAGTCTCTGTGGCCGGCATCTTCAGAGGACAGCAAACTGAAGATGCCGGCCACAGAGACTGGCGAAACGTTAGGAAGAACCACTTTCAGAACACAGCCAAGAAGCCCGAAAAACCCACAACAACCATTAGATCCCGGCCGTGAAAGCCTTCGCGAATACATTGATTCTTGGAGTGTTAGACCAAAAGGCAACTTTCTCCATCTCTTATATGAATACAGCCACCTGTTTTCCCCCTCCTCACACCCACTTTATTCCAGATATTTTCACCTGGCAGCAACAGCAGCAGCATATCTGGATAGGAGTTGAGTGAAGCAATAAACTAAATAGATGAATCTTAAAGAAATAATACTGGAGGGGTAAAAAACTCACCTAATAGAGGGCCCTGTCTTGAATCACACAGAACCTACCTTGTAGGCAGTATAGAAGAACCCAAATAGCTGCTGTAGTAACAGCCAACAGAGGGGTTGCATTAAGTAGCCAGTTTTGGGGAAGTCTGTTTGGGGATTTCTTGTTAAAACAAACAATGCAGCATGTTGCAGACTTAGCTTGTTTTACTTTTTTTTGCCACCTTCTTACAGACAAAGGAAAAAAGAAGAGAGAAGGAAAAGCCTTACTATTGACAAAGGGCAACTTCAGAGATGAAAAAGACCAAATGGAAGCAATTGTTTCAAGCTCCAGGAAAAAGAGCATTTAGCTTAAACAGCAGGAAGAGCTAACATTCCCAAAGGTGAACCTATTCTTTTCCTTTTAACAGTGCTGGAGTGGCACACCTAAATTAAGTAAGGCAACATTTTCCACACCACTTGTCTCCATCCCAGGAAAACAGCTTTCTTCAGCCTGGCCCCCTCCAAAGGTCTTGGGCAAAGATTTTGTCAGTTGTGCCACTAGGTTGGGCCCAAATGCCCAACAGGTGGGCACCCAGTAATGCAACTGGCACTTTGTTAGCAGCCATTTGCTGCAGTGAGAAATGGCATTTTAACTGACGCACAGATAAGTCACCAACAGGATTCTGGCTATTGTGCTTAAATTGTTAAAGAAAAGGAAACATAAAACCAATTTTTAAAACTTTCAACCAAAAACTAAAAGTGAACAAAAACTGGGCAAGGAAAAGAACAACAGAAATAGCTAGTATACAGAAAGTCCCAAAGTCTGAAAAAAAAAATAGGCATAAACTTGGATAAAAGATGATCACATTTCAGAGTAAGTCTGGTTTACAGTTGCCAACTATATGCCACCTCTTGAAACACTTTAAAAGTTCCTTGGTCCATAAATCAACAGAGGATGATGTAACAATGTAACAAAAGCAAACAATTTAGCCACCTAAGGACAAAGAGAATCCATTTCTGTTGACCACTGGTTAATTTCCATGATACTTTCCTTGAGGGCTAATTTCTGAACTTAATATTGGGAACTTCTGTTTGACTCCTGAATCACTGTTGCACCATATTTCAATCATGTCCCCATGTTATTTAACACCCATATGAAACTGCTAGGAGAGATTACCCAAGAGTCTGGGGTATGTTGCCTCCACTATGTGGCTGACATGCAGGACTATTTTTTAACTTTCATCCTCTGCTGAGAAAGCTATTCTGAATCAGCCTCTGCAGACAGTAATGGACTAGACAGAGGAGTGCATGGATCACACATATATTTAGGAATGTATTGTAACGTACACAATCCAGACAATTGGATGTGGGTAGGCACAAACTTAAAGTGGCATTCCCATCAGTACAGGCAGGGATGGATCTGCACAGACTAGCTCTACTTTTTGGTTTAGTTGTCATAACCATATTATGTCTACTGAGATAAGTTTCCATGTAATTAATGTGAATCAAACTTTTAGTTTGATTGACATTAATCAAAGGTCATAACTTGTCCATTTCATTCATTCATTCATTCATTCATTCATTCATTCATTCATTCATTCATTCATTCATTCATTCATTCATTCATTCATTCATTCATTCATTCATTCATTGGATTTCTATCCTGCCCATCTTGACCAAAGGTCTACTCTGGGAGGTTTACAAATTTAAAAACAATAAAATCAAAAACATATATTATAGATCCAAGGTGGCGAAAGTATAAGACATTAAGATATGGCAGGAGGGATACTATATACTGGCATGAAGAAGTTACGGACCTCCAGATATTCTTAGACTTTGACTTCCATCCACCTTAGTAATCGAAGCCAATGGTGGGATATAATGGGAGTTGCAATCCAATAACTTCTGGAGGCTACAAGCTGTCTGCCTCTGTTGCATTCTGTATGAATGTTCGAGCCACTAAGGATGGCTTTAAGTTGTTTCATCAATATCTGTGTATCCTGAGCTGTGAATGTAAGGTGATGGATTGGTTATAAATAGAACTCATACATAAACTAAGGATTGTGACTAAAAATTGTACTTAGTGAATCACTTGCAGAAACATCCTAAGTCATTAAAATAATTGGCAGCTTCAAGTGGAGTAGTCCCATTAAACCAAGTGTTGAATGGTATAAAACACTCACACAAAACCCTCTGATTCAATATGTGTATTCCAATTGGTACTACCCATGATACATGTTAGCATTTAGTGATATATGACATCACTTGTGGTGGCGCTGTGGTTAAACCATAGAAGCCTCTGTGCTGTAAGGTCTGTAGATCTTCAGCTGTA